TTTGTCTGAAATGGTATAGGACAGGGGTGTTCAACTCAAGGTCTGGGGGCCATATCTGGCCCGTGGGGTGCTTAGATCTGGCCTGCTGGAAACAGCATAGGACCGGGCCACGGTGCCTCTGCCAGCGAAAATGGAGCTCGGGAGGGCCACGCGCATTTGACCTTGGGGGGCTGGGGTTAGCATGGTCAGGGTGGGTGTGGCCACCTTGACATCACTTGTGTTGGGGACACCTGTGGGGGCCTGAGTACTCTACCAGCAAAAATGGACTCCCGAGCTCCTTTTTTGTTGGCAGAGGGTTGCAGGAGGCCGTTGCAGCCGAAAATGGAGCTTGGGAGCCTGTTTTCGCTGGCAGTGCTTGGGCCCCCACAAGTGCCTCTGACACGAGTGAAATTGAGCTGGCCACACCTACCCTGGCCCCCCAAAGTCAAACACAACCCTGATGAGGCCCTCAATGAAATCAAATTTGACATCCCTAGTATAGGGTTTTCTGCCTAAGCAGGGGGTTGGATTAGAAAATCTCCAAGGTTCTGTTCTGTTCTGTTCTGTTCTGTTCTGTTCTGTTCTATTCTATTCTATTCTATTCTATTCTATTCTATTCTATTCTATTCTAGCCTAGCCTAGCCTAGCCTAGCCTAGCCTAGCCTAGCCTAGCCTACTCTACTCTACTCTACTCTACTCTACTCCACTCCACTCCACTCCACCCACTCCACTCCACTCCACTCCACTCCACTCCACTCTACTCTACTCTACTCTTACTCTACTCCACTCCACTCCACTCCACTCCACTCCACTCCACTCCATTCACTATTCTATTATTCTGTTAAGTGGTAAAGATTCTCCATTTGTAACAGGCAATGCCAGATACTAAATCCAGCATCAGCCTTCCAAGCAGCTTCTGAGTATTCCCAGGGAGCACAACAGTGGCTAGTGTAAGAGCCCTTTCCTGCAATGTTTTCTTCTACAGTTTGCTTAGCAAAGAATGGAGGGCCAGACCTGCTCCACTTTTCCAGCTCCAGCTAACAAGTTTGCTTAGTTCCAAGAGAGACAACATGGCACACAATACAGTCCTACCTTTGATAGAACCAGCTGGTAGTCTAACTGAAGCAGTTCTGAGGTGCCTGCACAAGTGTCAGCTTTGGAGGTAGTGATAACTGTAATACTTTCATTTGGTATGTGATTATAACAAAGTGCAGAAATAAAAACTGTTTTATTTATTTATTTTTTATTGAAAAAGTTTTTCAAATACAAATTTTTCCCCCTTTCCCCCCCCTAACCCCCCCTCCCCTCCCCCCATGGCTTCTGCAAGATGAAATCCAAATTGATGTCACATTATATAATACTTTACCACCCTTTTACACCACCCCCTATGTGCTAAACATTTCTTTCTAACATTATTATTATGTCCCCAGTATACTATACATTTCAAAACAGCATTCGGCTATAAAACTATATAATAGATCCTAATTTGGCATTTATTCTACTCATAATCTACCCATTTCCTCCACCCCCATACGTATATCTCTTAATTCAAATCTTTTAAGTATATTAATATCTAAACATAACATCCCTTTTCCTAAACTAAGCAATCAGTAACGTTACCTATCACCTTGTACCATATCAATTTTATTTCACCCACTTTCCTACAGGTCTACCATACATAATATATTTAATATCTTTATTCTTTTGCCCGTATCACTAAAAGATATTTCCATATATAAATAAAACCCTCAAGTGACTTTAAATTTGTATTCCATATAGTATCTTCTGTAATGTCTTTCAACTAGATTGTTAATTCCATCGACCATGTTAGGGTAACATCAAGTCCTGCTTCCAACAGCATATTCAGTATCTTCAATTACCATCTGCCCCCATCATTAATAAGTATTTCTGTATATAACCCCCCTCCCCCAGGGACTTTATATTTATATTCCATATGGTATCTTCTGTAATGTCTTTTGTCTAGATTATTAATTCCAACAACCACGTTAGGGTAACAGCCAGATCATCTGCATGCCCCAATTCCATAGTTCTCTTGCCTTATAGCTCAACATAGACGTAATCCATTTTTCAGAGAGTCCAAAATAGAAAGTTCCAATCCACTCAATCACAGGCCATCTTCCACATCCCAAAAAACACCAGCACTGCAGAGATCTGTTATTCTTCTCAAAATAATATAAATCTGTAATTTGCCTCAGCTATATTTTCATGTATCAGCCTTCTATAAATCCCGCTTATTGTATTTAATCGTCTCTTAAATAACTGGCATTAATCTGTTGGCTAAAAAAGAATTGTAGTTTAAAAATTTTTAGTTTTGTAGAACCTGCTTCTTCTTTTCTTAACTTGTTGTGGTTTAGATCTCCACCCTGGTTGCCTTTCTAGGACTTGTATATCAGCTGATTGAATTACATGCTGGTCTTTAACTTGATGAGTCATCAAATCGAGATCCAAAGCCGCCTCTCTTGTATTTATAGATGATCCAGCTATAGCCTCTGAAGGAGAATCCAAAAGCGGCTCATCCAAAAAGCCCTCTATGACTTGTCGTTTTTCCATTATCTCCATCTCCATCTGCTTGGCCTGAGTTTCAATCTCTTGTTCATTTTGCTTTTCTTTATCCCCCTCCTGTATTCCTGGCACTGATGACATACGTGGAGATGTTGGGCCCATTTTAAAAACCTTGTAGTAAAATTCTTCTGCTTTTTCAACAGTGTTTAATTGATATCTTTCTCCTTGTTATCTCAATATTATACCAACTGGAGCATCCCACCTAAATGGGATGTTTTGTTTCTTTAGCTCAGTCACCAAAAATCCAAAGTCCTTTCTATCTTTTATCATCTTGGACGGCAGCTCTTTATATATCCAGATCTTCATTCCATTCATTTCTAGAGTGAAGTTAAAAGACATTTGCACAATATCATTTCTTATTCCTTTATCAGTAAAATAAATCACCACATCTCTAGGCAATTGTCTTTGCTTTGCCACCCAAGAATTTATTCTGTAGATCTTATCAATTTTACAGAATATTTCTTCAGAGCTGACCTTTAAAATCACAGCCAGAACTTCAGCAGACATCTTTCTCAAGTCCTCTCTGTTATTTTCCTGTATTCCTCTCATTCTGATCGCAAATTCCATGGATCTGAATTGCATCGTTGTAGCTTCATTTTCAGTCCTTTGCTTTATATTATCTATATTGTAAATCTTGTGATCAGCTTCCTTCATTTTAGACTCTGCTTCTGAGCTATTTTCTTGAATCATTGTCAAATCATTTTCAATTCTTTGTATTTTATTATCCAGATTATGAATCTTATAATCAGCTTCCTTCATTTTAGACTCTATTTCTAAATTGATATCTTTATCCATCTTTATAATTACTTCTGAAAAACTTTTCAAAGCTGTTACAATATAGCGCTTCAGGTTATCATACTTTTGTTGAACCAACTCTTTAATTTCCTGTCTAAATTTTTCAAGATTCTGGTTCATAATCTCATCATGTCTTGCCAACTCCTCCACAACAAATTCCTTTAAATCTTTAAAACCATTCTTCTGCATCTGCAAGCTCAAAAATTGCTCTTGTGATTTATAATTGGGGGAGCCCCCCCCCCACAGCTTGGTTGTCTGGCTTTGTTAATTTTAACACCATCCTGCCATGCAAACAGACTCTTTTTAAAGAAAAAGTCTTCTCTCCACACAATATCAATATCAAGTCTCTAAAAAGGAAGAAGCATGAAACAGAAATAGCCAGTGCTATTGCTTCAAATACTTGTAACATATTAAGCCTTTCAAACGGAAAGACTTTCGCTTTCAGCTTTCTTCTCAAGCCTCAGCCAGCCGCCATTTTAAGCCTTTTTTTTTCCCTTTTCATTCTCTCTTCATTCTTAAAATCAATCATAGGGTTGTTACAAATAGTTGTGATTTAAAGTCCCAAATCCGGATTTCATCCTGCTTATTCAAGCAATCTGTTAGTTTTCGCTGATTAGGTTGGTCACATCATCTAGCTCTGCAAAGTGCAGAGTTCTCCCGAAGCCCGGAGCAGCGGCGAGCTGGATAGGGAGCCTCATCCTGCTTCCTCCCCAAGAGTAAAAAAAAAACTCTGGGGACTTCGCAGAGGCTCTACCTGCTCTCGCCGGCTCTCCTCACATTTCCTTAAGGAAACGGAGTTTTTCGAGCCGCCTCCCAGCTGTAAAGGCGGCTCTTTACGGGCGGCGGGGGTGGGGGTCCCAAAAGACCGTCTAGCGACAACAGAAGCCAAACCGGAAGCCAATAAAAACTGTTTTATGATCTGAAGTAGCATCACCAAGAAAACCATATAATAATCAATGTAAAACATTTTCTACCAGTCCAAGGGTCAATTGCCAGTTCTCCGCTGGCAACCATCTTATTGTGATGGGCACTGGAGTTGAAACGGAAGCATTCCCTTCTCTTCATGGGGAATAATTTCCAGAATGGCATTCTGCTGGAGGAGTGGGGGAACAACCAGGAAGTAGATTCCCCCACCCAAAGCTAACCTTGCCTCTCACCGTTCCGTAGGAGATACACTCTTGGTGAAGTAGTGCCTACCACATTACTCATACAACAAGAGGTGGTTTTAAATATCATGCGCCTGATCAGCATCACTTCAGGCCCCTCCTACTTTCTCCTTTGTGAGGTAGGTATGATGTGTCCAGTTGTAACAAATGAAGGCCCACCATATTATTTCTGGATTAGCAAGTCACTTACAAGGATACAACTATACCAAATTCTATACAGGTAACTTCAACATGGGGAAATGGCCATTCAAGCATATTTAAAATAACATGTTAGCTTCCTAATGACTGTTTAAACAAGGTATATATTCAATCTTTGTCTTATACAGTAAGATAGTAATGTACATATAGCCAATGAAAAGGATGAATTTCATTATGCCTGCCTTTGAACTATAAATTCTGTAACTCTTTTAAGCCTATTATGTGTCCTGCAGGGCAGGCAAGTCCTATAACATTCTACCGTTTCTCTTTATTTGTTACTCTCCATTCACTGGGCATGGAATCATCATTTCACAATGTAGTTTTTAAAAAAACTATATACTAAAATCATAAGAGCCAAGGTAAAAACCAATTCATTAATTCTGTGATCCATTTCTAAAAGTGGATAGTCAGATGCCACTTGGGGAAGGGAAGGAGGGAGAAAGGAAGGAAGGAGAGGGAGGGAGGGATGGAGGAAGGAAGGAAGGAGAGGGAAGGAGGGAGGAATGAAAGTGAAGGAAGGATGAATGGAAGAAGAAAGAATGAAAGGGAGGGAGGAAGGAAAGGGGGAGGGAGGGAGGAAGGAAAGAAGGAAGGAAAGGGAGGGAGGGAGAGAAGAAAGGGAGGGAAGGAGGAAGGAAGGAAAGGGAGAGGGAGGGGAGAAAGGAAGAAAGGGAGGGAGGGAGGGAAGGAGGGAGGGAGGAAGGAAAGGGAGGGAGGAAAGAAGGAAGGAAAGGGAGGGAGGGAGAGAGGGAGAGAGGAAAGGAAGGAGGAAGGAAAGGGAGAGGGAGGGGAGGAAGGAAGGAAAGGGTGGGAGTGAAGAAGGAAGGGAAGAGAGGGAGTGGAGGAAGGAAGGAAGGAAGGAAAGGGAGGGAGGGAGGAAGGAAGGAAAGGGAGGGAGGGAAGAAGGAAGGAAAAGGAGGGAAAGAGGAAGAGATGAAGAAAGGAAGGAAAGGGAGGGAGGGAGGGAGGAAGGAAGGAAAGGGAGGGAAAGAGGGAGAGATGAAGGAAGGAAGGAAGGAAAAGGAGGGAGGGCTCAAACTGTGGAAACACTATTCCCCCTAGTTTCCCTATCCAAATAACAAGTGGATATTGTGATCCCCTGGAGAAGGATGAAGTTACATCAGTACCTATTGCACTCCAATTGCCACTTGTAAGCAAATAAGTTCATGTAAGTAGGCCAATACATTTGTGTGTCTTCAAAGAGTTTTTCTTTCTCACCAACGTCTCTATTTCTCTCTTTTTGTCAGCAAACTCTGCTGATTTAAGCCTTTCTCATGAGGACAAAAGTATCCATTTCGGTCATTCTGATGGAAAATTCACTGCCAAAGCACCAACAATTGAACAATGGTTTATAAAGCCAGCAGGTTACAGGAAGTCCCTGACCTTTTGCGGATGGACCAAGGGGAAGAGCCACAAAATTATATTGGGCTTATATTTAGTTGATCAAAAACAGTTTAAATATGAACTAGCACAAACCTCAAATACAGATGGAATTGCTTTATAATTGATTCAGAAACAAGAGAACTGGAAAGGAACTCAGGCAAAATACTCTTCATGATGTAAAATAATTAAAGGCACATTCCTGAAATGGAAACATGGATTAATACCTTTAATATGTGAGTTAATTTCTGACAGATTGACACCAGAGATGGTATTCAGCAGGTTCTGACCAGTTCTGGAGAACCGGTAGCGGAAATTTTGAGTAGTTCGGAGAACTAGTAAATACCACTTCTGACTGGCCCCATCCCTATCTATTCTCTGCCTCCTGAGTCCCAGCTGATTGGGAGGAAATGGGGATTTTGCAGTAACCTTCCCCTGGAGTGGGGTGGGAATGGAGATTTTACAGTATCCTCCCCCTGGAGTGGGGTGGGAATGGAGTTTTTACAGTATCCTTCCCCTGCCACGCCCACCAAGCCACTTCCACCAAGCCATGCCATGCCCAACAAGCCTCACCCACAGAACCAATAGTAAAAAAATTTGAAACCCACCACTGATTGATATCCCACCCCTATAGAAGAGAAAAGGACATATAGGAACTTACATTCTTGAGGCCTATCTCCTTACAAGGTGGGAATTCTCTAATCAGATAGTCCTTACTAGGGACTGATTGACATGCCGTATTTTTTGGAGTATAAGACACACCGGAGTATAAGATGCACCTACCTTTTTTGGTAAGGAAAAGAAGAAAAAGAAATCTGCCTCTGCCTCTGCCTCTGAGCAATTTTGTCTTGTTGCAGCAAACAGCAAACAGCCTGCTTTACTTTCATTTTCAGTAGCTTGATTAGCACAAGGAAAAAAAAATCTGCTCCAGAAATTTACCTCTTTGCAGCAAGCAGCAGAGCCCTGTGCAAAACAGCTGAGAGCAAATCAGCTGAGAGTCAGGAGGCCGATCCAATCAACTTGTGCTAATTAGGCTGTGTTGAAGCTGAAAGGAGCTATTTTTTCTTGTTGTTTGCTTGCAAGGAGGTAACTGCTGCGAGGCAGAGGTCAAAGGGTGGAGGTCAGTGGGTGGGTGGGGCTACATTCGGTGTATAAGACACACCTAACTTTTCATCCCCTTTTAGGGGGGAAAAAGGTGCATCTTATACTCCGAAAAATATGATAATAAAAATAGCATCTTTAAAGCACATTAAATGAGAGATATAGCAAAGGGAATTAAAGAAACATATACAATACACAGCAGTATTATAAGCAAACAAAAACTTGACTCTGTACTTATTTATCTCGAGTTCCAACCATCGTCATTCACACACCTTTCCACTTTGGCTATAAAATATTTTTTTTTATATGTTTGGCTTTTGCCGATAACCTTAAAAATCTACCCCTTGTTTCAAAGTGGGTAAACTAGAATTACTTGAATGATTCTGGCTGCTCCCTGAACTTTTTTATATATACTTGTAAATGTTTAAACCATTCCATTTGTCACATGTCATCCTGTTTCTCCTACCTTGCTCAACAAGATTCTCACTGACTTATTGTAACTCGTTTTTTTTTTTTAAAAAAAAGGAGGAGAAAGAATAAGGTGAAAGTTATCTTAAAATGGAAGCATATAAGTGCTATGTAATTAATAATTAATTACTGCTCTGCAAGTCAATTTGAAATAGGAAAGTCTTGATTTCTAGCCATTTAATTGGATAGCAATTTGTATGATCCTTTGATTGTATGGATCACAACGAATTGTGGCAAGTTCTCAAAGAGATGGGAGTACCAGACTATCTTATTTGTCTCTTGAGAAACCTATATGCGGGTCAAGAAGCAACAGTGAGAACTGGACACGGAACCACTGATTGGTTCAAAATTAGGAAAGGAGTTCGGCAAGGCTGTATACTGTCGCCCTGCCTACTTAACATATATGCAGAGCACATCATGAGAAAGGCGGGGCTAGATGAATCAAAAGTTGGAATTAAGATTGCCAGGAGAAATATCAACAACCTCAGATATGCAGATGACACCACCCTAATGGCAGAAAGCGAAGAGGAACTAAAGAGCCTCTTGATGCGGGTGAAGAAGGAGAGTGCAAAAGTTGGCTTGAAACTCAACATTAAGAAAACTAAGATCATGGCATCCGGCCCTCTCAATTCCTGGCAAATAGATGGAAAAGAAATGGAGGTAGTGACAGATTTTATTTTCCTGGGCTCCAAGATCGCCACAGATGGGGACTGCAGCCAAGAAATTAAAAGAGGCTTGCTCCTGGGGATGAAAGCTATGGCAAATCTAGACAGCATTCTAAAAAGCAGAGACATCACCCTGCCAACAAAAGTGCGTATAGTCAAGGCTATGGTTTTCCCAGTTGCAATGTATGGCTGTGAAAGTTGGACCATTAAGAAAGACTGAGCGCTAAAGAACTGAGGCCTTTGAACTATGGTGCTGGAGAAGACTCCTGCGAGTCCCTTGGACTGCAAGGCAATCAAACTGATCAGTCCTAGAGGAGATCAACCCTGACTGCTCTTTAGAAGGTCAGATCCTAAAGATGAAATTCAAATACTTTGGCCACCTGATGAGAAAGAAGGGCTCACTGGAGAAGAGCCTAATGCTGGGAAAGATTGAGGGCAAAAGAAGAAGGGGACGACAGAGAACGAGGTGGCTGGATGGAGTCACTGAAACACTAGGTGTGAGCTTAAATGGACTCCAGAGGATGGTAGAGGACAGGAAGGCCTGGAGGAAGGTTGTCCATGGGGTCACGATGGGTCGGACATGACTTCACAACTAACAAAAACAACAACAATAATTTGTATGAAGTTTGGTCTAGCCCCGTCATTAAAAAAGGGTAGTATAGAAACAAGCATACTGTTGGGTATGAATACGGTACGGATGTAACCTCCTAGTTTCATAATTCTAAAATAGCAGTGGAGGGTGTGGTCCCATCACAGAGGTCAAAAACAAGCCTCAACAGCCAAGCCAGATAACTCCAGCCAGTTTAATGATGGGAGAGTTACTAACCTCACATCTCTGGCAACCAAAATGATGTGAGCTAAGCTGAGCTGATTTATGTGGCTCTACAGATTTCTCTGGAGAAGGTTCTAATACTAGGAAAGGTTGAAGGAAAGAGAAGACGAGGACAACCAATAGCAAGATGGGTGGACTCAGTTACAGTGGTGATGACTGCACTGTTAGAAGATCTGAAAGACTAAATTAGATACGTCATCCAGGAGAAAATTTATGTGTCCACTAAGAGTTGACACTGGCTTGATGGCACATAATAATCAATGTGTCTTGTTGCTGTGAATTCATCGGCTGCAATGGAGTGATACAGAGCTCCACATACTGCAAGCATGCACCGTGGAGCAGTTTATTATTTTTAAATATTTTGCTCTTGAATAATATTCGCAGAATCTTACAAAAACACTAACTGGGCTTCCAACATGTCCAAAGTTCTGCTAGTTTTAAAGCAAGAGGAGGAGAGGAACAGTGTTATTCTTCATTCTATTCTGGATTATAGTGTAGAGTTTACTAAGTAGGATTCTGTTCCTATATATATATTACAACAACTTTGTGATAAGCCATGTCATTCTGGCCCAAAGTGAGTTCCCTGGTCAAACAAGGTCTTGAATGATTCATATCCAGGATCATTGAGTCTCAAAATTACCTACTTTTATTTCCTTCCTATTATGAAAGGACTCATAATTTAGACAATTTTATAGATTATAACTTTGGGGGGGGGATTACTGAAAAATAAGGAGTTTTGGCTCTAGTCTTCCCCCAAATCATCCATGGCAGGAGTCTCCAACCTAGGCCAATTGAAGACTTGTGGACTTCAACTCCCATTCTGGGAGTTGAAGTCCACAAGTCTTCAAGTGGGCAAGGTTGGAGACCCCTGATCCATACATCTCACCCTGAATCTCCCTGTACTGAAGTTAGGGAGAGAATATATGGAAATTTTCACTCAGTTTAGAAGTGGGAATCCTTCCAGGGCAGGAAAATGAGATTTCTATAAGCTTTTGTCATCTCCTTGAACACCTCTTGCAGAACTACTTGTGAAATCACCATGAGATTATAAATTGGATGAAGACGTTGCTTAAAAAAACTGTGACTGATAAGCCAATTATGCTATTTACTTACAGTATAAGGACTGTCCTCTTTCTCTCCTACTTTCAGTGTATCTTTTGTAAAACATTGGTGATTTGAAACTGGATTGTATGAAACACTATTTCAGTCTCCCATTTTGTAACCATTCTCAATCAGATAATCTTGTCCATTGGTCGCCCTTGAAGAGCTATAGCTGAGATGTCTCAGTTCTGTTAAAGCAGGGGTGAAATGCTCCCGGTTCGGACCGGATCGCCCAATCCGGTAGCGATGGAGGCAGGTAGTTCAGAGAACCAGTAGCAAAAATCCCTGGCCCCCCCATGCTCAGCTGAGCCGCACAATCATCAGAGTGGAGCTGGTCCCAGAGCTGAAGCACAGGTGGGCATCTTTCAGAGAGAGAAACCCATCCTCTGGGCCACTAAAGTCCCCCTCACAAATATCACGTTTTATGCCTCATCCGCAATGGTTGGCATTTAGTGGCAATATCCAGAGCTCAAAACTATTGAAGATCTAATGATCTAATACTGGGTGTTAAAAGAAGGAAACAGTATCAAACACTGCCATCACTTTCTTCATAAGTAACCTGCTCTCAGCTTCCCATCGTATCGCTCTCTCCCTCCCAGTCTATGAACACCCTCCCCGCCCCTCTCCAATCTTACATTCCACTCTTCCAACCACCCCCTAGAACAAAACTACACAATTCTCAATGCTAGTTCTACTTTTGCCTATATTCATTTGATGCCTGGATATCTTGAGTTATGTAATCACATAATTTACATCTCCAAACAATCCCCTTCCGTCCATTATCCCTGAACCACTGGAGTGAGATGCTGACACAATTTCAGTTCTATCTTGCAATGCCCATCCCCAAGTCCAGGCCAGGGTAATCTCCAGATCTAGCCATTATTCAGGCAGTCCAACAGGTAATTTCATCTGCTGACAAATTATGTGCATGAATCTTCTGGAGTGATTTTATTTGGCAGAGACATAAGTGCAGGCAGATTTATGTCTGGAAAAGCCACTTTATTAAACTAATTATATATCGTATTTTTGTTTCTTGCTTGACCTGATTTCTACTGCACAGGCTCCT